ATTTGTCTTTTACCTTGGTTAGTTTATATTAAATACCAAATAACTTCGAATGATACATACAGTTAATTACTCTACAAGTTAAAGAACTAAATAAGTGTAATAATCTACAAAATTGGTTTTCAAAAATTGTGTTCTTTTAAACTCACCCATGTGATGGCAATGAGAGGGTTTAAGGCGGGTTTCTCTGAACCATTTCATCTCCATTTCAAATACACAAACCCATATCTACCCCCATATGCACGTGAGAGAGGTTTTGCAACCCCATCCTTACACTCGCGGTTATAGGGTACCAGTAATCGCCCCTTATTATAACAATCTTAGTATACCAAGAATTCCATATATAAATCTTCAATTATATAACACTAAATGAACATAATAAATCATGAAATCAATTAAAGATTATAAATACAATCATTCTTAATACGAATTTAAATAATCCAACACTAAAACATTCATCAACCCCTAAGAAAAGTAGAGAGCAATGATGAAATTTTTACCGATGAAAGAGGATGTGAATTGAGCAATGGAGCGACTGAGTTTCAAGAGTGAATGATGGGTTGCAAGATACAATGCAATGGACCATTTAGTTCAATAAAAAAACAGGAGAAAGAAAGGGACATTGGTAGGCCAGAAGTCGATCTAACGATCAAAGAGCCTTTTTTGCTATGATATGATGTGAAATAAAGAGAGACACGCTGAAATGATGAGACCAACACAAAAATTTCTCTTAAAATTGTCCCCATTAAAACGTGTAACAAATTCTTCGCGTTCATCATTCGAACGATCACCTGCACATCACCGTAACACACAAAATTAGAAAGAGAATGATAATAACACCAACGAACAACATCTCTGAGCGCCATGAGTCCCATTACGAAAGGATCTATAATGTGGTTGTATAAATGCCCAAAAGTAAAACTCACAATATCTCCTCCAGAATACCCAACAAATCCAATCCCCCATTTCAAATCTTTATTATTTTTTAATTAACCTTCTATCATTGACAAGTTACAACATGAACCCTATATTTTATTATTATTTTATATTAAGAACTACTTTTGGTGGGTTATTGTACGAGGGGAGGTTATAACCATATCAACCCAATTCCTACAAACTCTTTGTGAGTTTTATGTAGCCATACTCACCCTATACTCAATTCATACGAGTATTCTTCGTTGACTGAGTCAAGGGTGGTCAAATACCCACGATCATAGATTTGATTACCATCCCTACATGTACGGGTCGGACAATCCACCTACAAACTGGATTTGATGTGCTTAATATGAGTTGGGCTGATCCACCTGTCGCCAATATTGACATTCCTAGTGAGAAGCTAATCATGTACACTTAGTTGATTCATATCGTAACATAGTGGGATATAGCAGGACCGACTAAACGGGTACGATTTTTTTGGGTAAATCGCAACCAAGCGGTTAGTGGGTAACCACACCATTTAAGAGTGCGAGAGTAACTATAACCGCACCGATTGCCACCACCGGGATATATTATGAATGTTTTAACTGGACTAGATTATTATTATTATCCACATGATTGTCACACATATATTATATAATATACGTTTGAGCAAATTGTAAATTATATATAGGTCACATGGTAGGAAACCCCAATTCATTCTCCCCCCTCCCTCACAGTCACATGCAAAGGGAATTTTTGGATCGAATGCTAGCAAAGCTATATGAGCTAACCTCACCAGTAGTGGACGAATATCGTACGTTATCTCACTGGATCAAGGGCAGCAACTAAGTTCATTGTTAAAACAATTCCCAGACAAAGGAATGTGTGAAACATCATAAAATATTGGACGCAGCCACGTGAAACCAGTAGACAGAAAGAAAGATAGAGAGAGAGAAGGAGAGGAAAGAGTGAAGGAAGCTGCAGCAGTCGGAAAAAGAGATGAATGACTGAGGCTATAGCTAGTTAGCTGGAAGCCATGCATGGAAGCAGCAACAATGGGAATCTCAAAGACGTGGGGGGGTGGCGTTGGATCCGCCGAGGTTTGTGTATAGAGACTACTGGAGATAATATTAATTTTTGTGGTGTGTGGCCAGCTCAAAAAAATCCCAATACAAAATGCTGGAGAATCGCGTTTGCAGTAGTAGCAGGTTCATTATTACTTGCATATGGATATATTTCTATTTGGCTCCAAAACCAGACTTTTGACCATTAAAAAAAATATAGTTAATGTGTCTCGTAGTTTGTTGGGCTAGCTACTCTGGATTTCGCCCAAATGATAGGGTTCATACTTTAGTTGTTGGTAGTGTAGGGCCTAGACAATGGAAGATCAGAGGGATAGATTAATAGAAGAAGAGGTAGCTAGACAGGGACGGGTGGAAATAGGAGTTCCTGCGTCTAGTTTAGGAGACTAAATCGAAATTAGCTAGGTACTAAACGGTAGTTAGCTAACAATTCATCAAATATATACACTATATTAATTGTAATTATTCAACAATTCAATTCATGAATCCATCGATCTTTAACTGGATTCGAATTAAATGAGTTGGGTTAATTAATTTGATTATTTCGTGGATGGATTAGATCGGATTGTTGGATTGGATTCAAACTGCCACCTTCGATGCACCACCATGGGTACGGACCTTATATATACTACATAACCAATTATTGGGTGGGCGTGAAATGCTCGGCATAATTGGTCACGATGTTCTCGTTCCCACGGGTATGCTTGTTGATTAGGTAGACCTCTATACTGTTGCTATGTCTAGGGGAACAGTTTCATCCAACGAATCCGAGTGTCTAGGCATGGACTACTTGAGAGAGTGTGTCAAGAATCAGTCGGTCCTAATAATTCGACTTGTTGGGAGAGAGGCCAAATAGTGGATCTTCTATAATTATTTTACATATCCTCTTGACCGAATGCAAACCCATGGGATTTTATACTTAATTACGAAGGCTCAAAATATAGCTTGCTTAAATCAACATTCAGCTGTTAATATTGAGGTCATGCGAATTCGGACACTAGACCTATCAGTCAACGCTTCTAATATACCATGTTAAAAATCAATTGATCTCACAAACTTCATTTATCATCGTGAATTTAAGAATATAATATTTCCTTACACCGATAGATTATAAATTTACCCTCAGCCTAATGATTTTGGAAACAAATAATTCGGGACAGGTTACGGTGATTACTACATATGTAGTAATCACCGTGGTTACTAAGGGTAAATTGGGTATGAAAAATAAATTGTATTAATTAATTTTTTTAATAAATTACATTTTAGGTAGTTGTAAGAATCTATTAATTACAATTCTCTCTCTTTCTCTCACTTGCATAATCTTCAGCCAGATCCATTTTCCTTATTTTTCTCAATCTTTCTGCAAAAGAAAAAAAAACACGAAATCGCTACCAATCCATTAGATAATCACTACCACTTTGAAAAATATCAATGCAAAAATAAATCTATACCATTACACGAAAACTACCAATATAAACAATCTACCAATATAAATCTATACCATTTCACAAAAAATAATACCATTGCAGATTGAATCCATACCAATACATGCAAATTAATACCATTGCATGATAATCAATATCAATGCGACAAAAACAATACCAATGCAAAAAAAACACTACCACTACAAAAAAATCACTACCAATGCGGGGAAAAAAAATCAGATCTAGAGTTTTTATTCATCCCACCTTTTCCAGCGAATCTGTCGACCCGAGGAACTCCATTGCTAATGCTCTGGCGAGCAGTGATTTCCCAACTCCGGTTTGGTCGACGGAGTCGTAAGGGATGGAGAGTAGGGCTGATCGGAGAGGGGAAGGGGTGGAGGCGATGGCGGATTTGATGGCGTCGGAGAGTCGGGAAGCGAGGGAAGGCGGGGAGTGCGAGACGTCGAGGTGAGGGGTGTGGCGGACGGCGAGGCGGTGGGAGCCGCTGTGAGGTGGGATTTTATGAGTGCCCTTGCATCTTGATAAAGTGCCCTTGCAAGCTGATTGGAGAATGAATAATGATTTCATTTTTGTAGCTAACGGTAACCAATTCAGTGAAATAATGGTTTCTGCGGATTTTGTAGTGCTAGAAAGTGGAGATAACTGGAGCGTGGGACAGAGGCAACTTGTTGGGATGGCCTCGGAGTCGGCCGGGAAGGCAGAGCCGACGAGGCGGAGGTTGATCGAGAGCGGGAGCGACAGGGAGAGGAGTGAGGAGATGACGGCTAGGTATTAGGGTTTGAGTAAAATATATACAGTAATTAGGTGTGGTATGTTTTTCATTTCCTAAATTACCCTTAGCTAATCTTAATCATTAATTTAAAATTATAATAAAATACAGATAATGAATGGTATAGATGTTGGTAGCCACCGTAATTACTCAAAATTGAGTAACCACCCTAACCTATTCCAAATAATTCACCACAATAACTCGTTCTCACCAAAGAATTACAGATATAGCACGCAATATTCTAAATTTGAGTACACATTCTCCCAAGACAGACAACCATCACCACTTAGAGTTTCCGACGACTATATTACTGGCTGCTTGGATCAGTAACATGGGAATTAAGTTGTAAGAATGAATTTAATTATCTGATTAATTAATTATACATTTATAATGATTAATAGCATGCATTCATCCCAAAATTGGATTACTCGTAATCAAAATCAGACCATGCAAATATTTATTAAGATACCCACTTTATATCATCATTATTATTAATCCAACAGTACCCTAATTGCTTAGCTAGCTACTAATAATAAGTCCATCCGGCGACTTTCTTGCTTCACATGTCTTCTTGTCCATCTTTCCCCATCTACCCTATCTCCCTACCTAATATATATAACACCCCTCAGCTAGCTTCCCCTATTCACCTCCAACTAGCTTGCTACAAAATTCCCCTTCCAAAACAAGAACAACAACCCAAATCTCTTCCCATTTCTTCATCTCCAACCCCAAATGAACTCCGTCCACAATTGCACCGGCGCCGGTCCGACGATGATGATGACGGCGACGATGAAGAGAAGCAACTCCTCTCCCTCCAACTCCTTGGAAAGCCCGACCAGCACCACCACTTCCAACAACGACTTCATATTCCACCCTTCTTCTGATCATCGTTATCATCATCCCATTACTACAGATCATCATCATCATCATCACCACAACAACAATCTCATCGACTTCCAAGCCGGCCCCGGCCTCCTCACCTTCGACCACTCCTCGTCGTGGGACAACTACGACGCCGTCGGGCCATGGGACGACGACGCGATGAACGTAGCAATTAATAACAACAACAACGTCGTCCCCACGAGACGCGGCGCCTTCCAAAACGACGCCGTCGCTAACGTCGCTGCCGCGAATAACAATGTGGATTCTTCTGTCACCCACCATAAGCACAATAAGCGCCCCGGCGCCGGAGACAGCGCGCAGCCGCCGCAGAAGAAGCAGTCCAACGGCAAGTCCGGCGGGAAAGCGGCGAAGCCCTCGCCGTCGTCCTCCTCGTCGCCTCCGTCCAAGGACCCACAGAGCATTGCTGCGAAGGTACTATATATATATATATAATCCATCTATATGCTTCATTTCTACGCAATTCTCGGATATGGGGAATGTTTTGTCTTTATCTAAGGTCCACTCAACGTGAATTAGTAGTTAACGAAACGAAGAAATTTTTTTTTTCCACGAAGTTATCAAACAATATTATTAACTGATCAGAATTTCGTTTATTCAGAATCGGAGAGAGCGGATTAGCGAGCGGCTTAAGGTACTGCAGGAGTTGGTTCCAAATGGATCTAAGGTAAATTATACGTGCATGTTGACCTTGTTTTCGTTTCTTTGAGCTTGATCGATCTGGAAATTAAATAATTATTATATTCTTCGATGTTGTTGTGTATATGTATAGGTTGACTTGGTTACGATGCTGGAGAAGGCGATTAGCTACGTGAAGTTCCTTCAGCTGCAAGTCAAGGTTTTGGCGACGGACGAGTTCTGGCCGGCGCAAGGAGGGAAAGCTCCGGATATCGCGCAGGTGAAGGAAGCCATTGATGCGATCCTGTCGTCCTCCAGAGGCAGGAACAACAAGAACTCTTCGAATTCATCCAACTCTAGCTCGGAAGGAGAAGAAGAAGAAGAAGACGACGAGTAGGAGAATGGGCCCACTAGCATTAATTACATAGGAAGTCAACTTCCAACAATTAATTCCCCCATTATTTTTAATATTCATTTCAATTTATGGTAGAGGAAGTCCGTGTTTAGGGGGGAATTATTAATGAGTAATTAGCGATTAGACGATAATTCCTTCCCATCTGAGGCAGATCTCTTTCTTTTTCTTGTAATTTTGAAAAAAGGGGAAAAAAAAGCTAATTACGGAATTTGTTAGTGATAAATCGGCTTAATTCAACGTGTAATCAACGGGGGCTCAAAATGGCCGCGTCCCCATGTAGTTTTTTTTTTTTTTAGAGTATTTGTATTTCACTAATTCGTGAACTCGTTTGTATTTCATTTTACTTGGTGTAATGCAGATATTTATTGTGTTGATGATTAATAGCGGTTTCCTTCTTCATATTCGTTTAGTTTCACAGTACCTGTGAAACTAAATTCTAGGACTAATTCACAAAAGAGTAAACACCCTTCAACTACTAATCTTATTTACTGGTTGTGTGTGCTACATTGCAGAAAGCCAAATTTGGTTATATACAGAAGCAGAGGACGAGCAGGGGGGAAGAGAGGGGTGATTGAACCCTAGCTTGACTACATCATAAGCAATTAGTCTCACTCATATGAATCCATAATGGGCTTGGGCTGTAAAATAAAGGGAAAGAAGACAGCCCAGTCCGCTAACAGCCTCCTCCAAATGGATGTTGGTCTCGAAGCATTAATTTGCTTGATAGATTCCACTAACGACACGTAGAGAAAGTCTTCGTGAAAATGTGAGCAATATGATCCTCGGTGCGAACATAGTGGAGTGATAGGGTACCATCACTCACAAGGTCACGAACATAGTGAACATGGATCTCAATGTGCTTTATAAGATTGTGGAGCACATGATTGACGTCAATCCGAACGGCACTAGTGTTATTAACAAAAAGACCCATAGGAATAGAGCATGTGACTCGCAAATCAACTAGAAGACGAAGTAACCAGACAAGCTTAGATGGAACATATGACATAGCTCGGTATTCTACCTGAGTAGAAAACTTAGATATCTTGTCTTGCTTCTTACCGTGTTAGGATATGAGCGCCCCATCAAGGTGAAAAAACCACCCTATAGTAGCACGACGTGTGTCTATACAATCAGCAAATTCAGAATTATGATCCCAAAGCAAAAGAACCAGTAGCAGGAAAGAAGATATCACATCGTGCGTGACCTATCAATATCACATAATCCAATGAATGACTACATGATGATCAATGTCAGGAGCTACCATAAACTGATTAACCATCTGCACAACATAAGAAATATCTGGACGAGTAATAGAGAAATAGATCAGACTACCAAGTATACTATGATATGCAGTAGCATTGGTCAATAACTCTCGATACTCACGTCCTAATTTCATATTAGACTCCATAAGCGTACCAACAGGATTGCAGGTGCCAAAATGACAATCGCCAAGTAAATCAGAGATGTACTTTTGTTGACTAAGCAGAAGTCATTGAGTACTATGAGTTACCTCCAAACCCATAAAGTAAGAGAGCTCTCCAAGATCCTTGAGATTGAAAGTAGCTTGAAGACTAAACTTAAGTTGATGAATACCCTCCTGATGAGAGTCGTTGATGACCATATCATCAACATATAAGATCAATGCGACAACACCAACAATGGATGTCCGGGTAAAGAGAGAAGGATCGTTAGAGCTCTGTTGGAATTCGAGTTGAAAATAGTAGAATAAAACTTGTCAAACCAGGCGCGTCGTGTGTTTGAGGTCATACAAGGCCCGATGAAGGCGACAAACTTGATTTGTAGTACCAAGAATGTAGCTAGGAGGTCTCTCCATGTAAATCACCTCGTCTAAGTCCCCATAAAGGAATACATTCTTCACATCCCGTGGATACAAGGACCACTGCTTGCAGGTTATTCACCTATTAAATGCTTGCAGCTTCTTCACATCCCGCTTGATAAGAATTTTGCATATGCAGCAAGGTTGTCAACCCGCGGGCTAATCCGGACCCGGTCGAACTTGTGGGTCAAGGGTTAATAGGTCACCCGTTTTAGCCCGGTCTAGCCCGAAAATATGGAAAGAGTCATTATATTGTACTTATCCTGATAAATTATATCAAATCTCATCTAACATATGAGTTATAACATATAATAATCCACGAAAATAATATGTCGTACTTAGATCCAACATATAGTGAAAATTCACACACACTTATATAACATCAATATTCAAATGTTCAACTTAGAATTCCAAAGATTGAGTTAGGCGAAAATAAAAATAAAAGAATAGGGGCATTTCGCAAACCGAAGAAAAAAATGACACAATTTAACCTCCAACCAGGTATCTTGTAGTGGTCGACCCGGCGGTTGCGTGCGGCCCGTTTTTCTCACCGGGGCAGGGTTAAATTAAGTGTGTCGACCCGTGGGTCAACCCGCCGACTGACAACCTTAATATGCAGTAAGAATTCAGGTTATTCACCTATTAAATAGCTTTTTAAATAAATACTTGAATGAAGTATTCATAGAACAATCTTATGGCTTCACATATAATTTTCCCCAAATCATGTCTTCAACCTAAAAAAGGGTTTTGTATGACCTTAATTAAGTCATATGTGAACATCAAGCAAATATCTTTTGGATAATGTGTTCAAAAGAGGGTCAATTGATACCACTCTCTTTATGAAAAACTCAAATCAAGACATTGATACTCCGATGACATTGTATTTGGTGATACAAATGAATCACTCAACATATTCCGACTTTTGCACTTAATTTATCATGGTTTGCAAGCTTGATGATTTGAGAAATAGATGTAGTTCCACCTCAACTTGAGTTCTCATATTTATGTTAGTTGATCTCGTTGTACCTAACATTTTATTTGAGTTAGTAGCTAATGCATTGCGAATCACGAGGATTCCAATGGTTCATTTGAGTTGGACTAACTACTATATTACAATAGGTTTGTATGTTTACATTAATGTTATATATACCTTTTTGGTATGAAGAACCTTGATATGCGATACATAATTCCTTTGTCTCTTTCAGGTGTTTGTCTCTTTTGGGTTATTGTTGTTTTTTGCAAACTTCAAGTACTTGTAGTTTTTACATATTTTACATGAAAGCATAATATAGCGAAAAAAAGACGAGAAGACATTTCACAAGCAACACTACATTGTGTCAATTATCAAGCAATTGACTCAAAGAGGAGAGGTTTTTAACAAACTGCATTCAGTTTTTCTTTTTGCATGTAATGTAAGTCCTCAAAAATATCTAGTACATAAATTTCTTGTGTCTCATATTTTGATAACTAAACTTTTAAATTTTACAAATAGGTCCAATTTTGTATATATAGTTAAAACAACTTCAATTAAATGGTCATTCATACCCAACCCATGCACATTTAAAATATGAAAGCAATACACATACCCTACCCAAACTCATCTACAAAACCCCATACCCATATAGACTTCACTCATACCTTTCCCATCATCAATGAATTTACTTGTGTTTGAGTAAAATTACCTGTGAGTGGGTAATTGTCGTCCCTGGTTCTTACGTAATCGACTCAAAGATGAGAGATTGTTAAACAGCCCCACATTAGTCCCTATGACCCAATTAGCAACTTCAACTTTTACCTATTCTTGACATCCAAATACCACAATTACACCTCATAAGCCACAAGTGGTATTTCTCAAAATTTCATACCACATATATCAATCTTGACAAAATTCAAGTACTCCCATGCCAATTAACCCAAATTAAAATCCCATGCTCGTACACATAAATAAAACACCAAAAACCAAAACCATGTGTAGATCTTGTAAACCAGTTATAGTGAGTGTGCTTTAGAGTATTTTTTTTTCTTTTTTTTCTTTATGTTCTTCTCAAGTTAAATCAATTAAACTAATATCCTCCTACACGTGGAAGGAGGAGAGGAAACGTAAAAGAAAGAAAAAGCCAACCTCCTCCTTCCACATAACTAACTGTTCCTTAACGCCTTCTTCCCCCCCCAAACCCTTTCGCCTCTCCACGCAATCCCATTCTCCCCTTTTAATCCTCTCTCTCTCTCTCTCTCTCTCTCTCTGATATTTCTCTCTAACACCGTTCCCCACCACACGCCCTCCTCCGCCTCTCTTTCCGGCCGCCGCAACTGCTCAACTCTAAAGCGGCAGCGATGGATTCCTCTTCGTCGTCGGTAGAGAGTTGCCCGAGCTTCTCCCCTTCCTCTCCGGAGTACTCCGATTCGACGCCGCGCGGATCGGCCGCTGCCGCTTCCCCTTCCTCCTCTGCAATCTCCCGAGCGCTCCACCTCGTCAAATCCGAGAATCCGGAGTCCAAGGTCGAGGCGGCGAGGGAAATCCGCCGCCTCGCCAAGACCTCGCAGCGGTGCCGCCGCCTGCTCGCCCACGCCGTTCCGCACCTCGTCTCCATGCTCCGGGTGCGCGACTCCGCCGACTGCCACGAGGCCGCCTTGCTCGCGCTGCTCAATCTCGCCGTCAAAGACGAACGGTAACGATTTCCAATTTTTTTTTTTCTCTTTTCAATTTTTTTTTCTTCCTTCAATGGATTGATAATTGATTAGTTTAATTTAGGTGTTGATTTTGAGGACGATCTTGCTTTACTTGGGAAGTACTGCAACTGTTTTCCCCTTTACCAGAGCGATCCTTTTCCTTTTCTTCTCCACCTGCCTTTTTCTAGGATTCCTCTTCCTTTTTTACTTTGGGATTAAAAAATCCCGTTTGCTTCATTGGTAGGGAGAAATAGAATTATTTTTCCTTTTCTATGTGGTTGGTTCTTATTGGACTCGATTGGTGAAGTTGGGCCAACTTTTTGGCTAATTCTGACTATTCAATTCGGGAAAATATACCCCCCAACGGGGAGATCATGATAGGGAAGTTTGAATTCCTGAATTTCAAAATTCGAATCCAATGGGGGGTTTCCATGGATTTTGTAGTTTTCTTCTTGGAACTTGGAATGGCGAATAG